TTTAAATCTGGCAAGACCTCTCAGTCTACCTGCGCGTTAAACTACATGTGTGACATTGTCAGAAAAAGAGAGGATTTTGTAAAGCACATCACCAATTGTGTTGATGGTGTCGCAAACAGACAATCCAATGCTATTAAAGGTGACTTCTATAGCAGATGTGCTCAATTCCTGCATCAGAATGTGTGGTCCAGTATGCATGACGACACACTTTTCAACATTCAATCCAGTCCCATTCATGACAGATCATTGAAAATGCTATGCAAATCAGCATTGATGAGTCTAATTGCTGTGTATGTCATGTCTGGCCTGTACGACAAGTGAAGTTAGCAGTCATCAGCAAACAAGTGTGCTGTACAAAGTTTCACACTTCTGGGCAAGACATACGTGTACAAGTTGAAAAGCACAGGGCCTAAACAACTACCTTGAGGAACACTACGCAGTTTGCAAAGCGGATCTGACGTCCCAATTTTGGTAACCTGCATTCAGGACTCCAAATAGGACCGGGTCCAACAAACAACATTTTCACTGCAGCCATATCACATTTTGGCCAAAAATAATAATTCATGATCAATAGAGTCATAATTATGGAATTCAACCTTACAATATTACAGGGCTCGATTTTCTATCAAAGTTTCTATGCTAGCTAGTGCTATCTCTAATTTTCTAGTTGTATTTCTAGCTCAGTGGTAATCAAGTCGTGCAGTCATCTCACCCAGACGCACTCATTGTACATTAAATTAGGGAAACATGTTTTGGAGAACGCAGTAAGAGAATCAGAGGAATTAATAAAATGCCAAAGGCAGTGTTGGGCACCCTAGAAAACTACTTGTTACACACAATTTAGGCCCCAGCATGGCCTACCCAACTCGGTATTTTAATTCAAGAACGAAATATTTACCAATCCGGCAATCCCTTGAAGGATAAAATAAGACTGTTCTAATTAAGAAGTTATCTCCCCCAAGGAAAAGGATAGACCAGTTTCGGGTAACCTGTTAAAACTGTATGAGAATCTCTGGATTTAACGAGAGCCACCTAAGATTGGAGATTGTTCAGTTGTTAACGTTTTAACAAGGCCATATGATGAATTACACGGATTTGAGCTGATACGATTGGTCACAGAACGACTCAAGGATCAAACCATCCGTGACTTGGTCGTTATCCCAGTCAGCATCATCAGATGACCACTTCCGCGTGCGTGTCGACGTCGACACCCAGCGGGAAATTTGGAACCCTTTTAACCCTGCCTTTTCCAGGCAAAGAAGAATTTTTTATAGTATAAATCAACTGAATCCCCTGAATTATAATGGAGACGAGGCTGAACGCGTTTTAGCCAAAATTTGAACGAAGGATATGAGTGTAGAGTTATAAGAGTCAGATGTTTTTTGTAGCTGTGTTAATGACAAAGATCATCTGGCTTTTTAGCCAGGGCTATTTATTACAAGTATATTGATGAACAGTTGTGCCAGCTTGGATCCATAAACAATCGTCTGACTTTTATCAGAATGATTGATATAAACACTATGATCAAGGACACGTGATATGATATACAATAATGAGTACAGTACAATGGTGTTTTAACACAACTAAACGTATTGTTTTATTTGTTCAAACTATTACATTACTAACTGTAATGTTGAATGTGTGATCTTTTACTGTGATACGTTTTACTTCATGTGCTAGGCTGTGAGTTCTAAACATACGCTGTAAATAATATGTGAATCAGTTGTAGCTGTCATTTTATATTTTTTAACAGTCTAAGAACGCTTTTGAAGGGGAAGACGGCAAATCGAAAGTATTTTCACAGTTTCTAAATTAAAACGAACATGCTTTCCCCTATAGGAAGAAGCTAATCGTGTTATAAATTTAAAACATATTATAATGGTGTTCTTTTTAAATTTGACTGCTAGCAAACTCTGCAGTTTCTAATAAGAAATAGCAATCTCTATACTTAATGCTCTCTTTAATACAGTAAATGTTTTCTCTGTATCATCCCTTTTTTAGCCGTCATACTTAACTGATTTTTTTACTATTTTTGTGCCTTTTTAAAGTTTATTATCTAGCGTAGGGACTAATGGTAACGAAAAAGTTTTAAATTTGACTGCTAGCAAACTCTGCAGTTTCTAATAAGAAATAGCAATCTCTATACTTAATGCTCTCTTTAATACAGTAAATGTTTTCTCTGTATCATCCCTTTTCTAGCCGTCATACTTAACTGATTTTTTTACTATTTTTGTGCCTTTTTAAAGTTTATTATCTAGCGTAGGGACTAATGGTAACGAAAAAGGTAATTTCCCTTTGGAAAACCCCCTTGTGTTTTATTTATTTCAACAGTATACTTTCAATGATCAAGTGAAGCAGAACCACATGTGAATTGTAATTAATAATGGCTTATCCTTCATTCCTTTAATCAGATAGTAAACAAACGACGAAACGTGAACTAGGAAACTTATACATAGGGAAACTTAAATCCAAACACTCTGTACATTATATCAGCATGATACTACAGTACTGCGCCGAACGTGATGGCCCTTCTGAATTTATCATGCTTTCGCTGCAATTCTGTCTGGTTGTCTCGTCCGTCGACCGGTGAGAAAATCACCTTCATTACGAAACTGTTATGTTTTGAACATCTCAAGTCAATGGCATACACAATCTTGATGTTTTGAACGATCTCACAGTTTTGAAAAATCTCAAACAATAGGAGTAAGGCACAATATAGTTTGGAAAACAGCTGTGGAAACGATTACGGAATCAGATAACTCACACCAAGATAAAATAAAGTGCACTTGTTGCAGCAAACCTGCATACTAAGGAGATTTCCTTGCCAATTAAAATCAAGACTGATATAAATAGCGTAGTAGAGTATCTAAATACATTGCTATGAACATGAAAAGATGCGTTTAATTTTGAATTCTAAAATATAAACAAGAAATTTAAAGATCTTTTAGCTAACGAATCCATAAACCCAATAATACAGATCGTGTAAGTGATTGTTTTGTTATAAAATTACAATTAATGCTTCAATACATGACAAGCTGGAAATCTCTATAAAGAGTTCTTGTGCTACCCTCAGAATATAGCACACTGTTAACGTTCTGAACAATCAATTTGAAACTAAATGTGTTTTGATATGATTACTAATATAATATTGGTAGACATCTCATTATATTTTTATAGTTTTTTGTAACTCTTCTCTGTAAGTAAAAGTTAACCAATTATGGTCAAATTTGATGAAAACGTCTAAATCTACGTTTATGCGAACCATCATGATCGTACTATGGGAATAGCTCCCGGTTTACCATGGGAGGGGTAACTGGGGGGGTTCTTATGGGGTCAAAATAAGTGTTTACCATTTTTGACCCTCTCTAAAGATATAATTTTGCAATTTCTATCAAAATCCAGTTTGTAGAGCTAAAGAAAACAACAACAACAATTAGCATGTTGAAGAATTGTTGTACGCTTAATGGTACGGAGAAAAAAAAACTGTAATTTTAAATGTTTTTTAAGGATACTAAGTAAACCCTTCTAGTTTGATTGTTTATGAATATATTCTAATCAAATTTGGATAATTCATTTATTTATTCTTAATAAAATAACACTTCACTAAAACACGTCTTTGTTACCTTCCCTGTAGCAACAAACCTAAGTACTAATTAGAATAAATGTTATTTAAATAGAAAATAAATCTGAAAATTTAAAGGTAATATTTTAGTGAAAATCCAATCAGGCAAATGGAAATCAGCTTAGTGTGCAGGTTTGCTGCTGCGTAGGTGTTTATATACTTTGCAGGGTGAGAACACAATTTTACCTCCGGTCAACATAAACTATTTCTCCACATTTTTAAACTGTCATAAACCACATACCCATCATTACCCACACCTCTTCACCACTATGGTTGTGTGGTCCAAACCACATCCACGTGGTTGTGCGGTTACCTCGCACGGTCGCTTCCACACAATGTTATGCAGGTTTTACCATTTTCTCTAGCGTTTAGAGTGCAGCCGTGCCGAACCTTCTTTGCCCGTAGTTGCATTGTTGGTTGACACTGCATCTGGTTTGAGCTAAGAAATGAATCGTAAAGGATTTCGCTTGAAAATAGAGGTGAAGATTAGTCATAAGTTTCCCCAACGTAAAATGAATGTTATTTTGTCCCCATAAAAGGGTTTATCATTTGTACGTCATTGGAATCAGCTGGGTTGAGGTAAACTAAAAAAAAATGTGATGTGCGTCAGTTGGTCAAGGGGTGTTGATCAAATCATCAAGAGTTAGTTTAGGAAGAAAGTCATGTAAATGATTGCAGTAATTGTAACGTTAACAAGTCGGTGTAAGATGGGGATGTCATGCAGTGAACAGTATCTAGGAGGGTCGATAAAGAAATCATGATGTTATTCAGTTTGAGTACATTATTATAAAGTAGCATTATCCATTGGCTAAATAGTGAAAGATATGTCATCTTTGATTACTTAATTTAACTAGAAGCATTAATGATTACACCAAGTTATGCTATGTAATCGAGAAGCAGAGTATTCAAAATATTGATAAGTAACTAATTTAAGTTTCATGATCTCATGGGTGAAACAACAAGGACTGGAGTCGGACATTCAGTCCCAGGGATTGAAATTTACATGGGATTTGATTGTCTCTTTATCCGAGGCAGGACAGTCAGTCCCAGAACTGAGGATCCGGAATGGGACTGACTGTCCACCCTTTGGTTGGGTCTGGTTGTCCAACACTTGAAAAGCATATATACTTGAATCATACTTGGTGCAGTTTAAACCAGCAGCTCGCGTTTACAAGTTAATTTAAGTGTAGGTCAACCAGTCCCAGATCTACAGTGGGAACTGATTGTCCCTTAAATATTTTCCGATTACCCTTGTTGTTGTTTGTTGCTATTGTTTGTATTTACCCTTGGCTAGTAGACTCTTAGACTGATTTGCCATCAACCTGTAAGGTAATGTTTTGTTTTTCAACAGTGACAGTTGGTATCATTTTTGTTGCAGGTGGCGATAGTGTTGATCAGCTGGTTGACTCCGAGTCTTGCCTTGGGGGACAGCGACACCTCGGAGTCGTAAGTAAAAACAGGAGTTGATAATGTCACACCTTCTAGTATATCAGTAAAATTGCGAATATTTCGTGAGGAAACTTTGACACCTTCTGATAAATAGATTTTTATTATTTTTGTATAGTTACATACCAAATCACGCATGCCATACTTGAAGTTCTTACTTTTTAGTTTTCGCATTTCCATTTAGCTATAACATGGTAAATCCTTTCTCATGAATATAGATCTATAGCCAAACACCCAAAGGTACGTGGCATTTGATATTGGTTTAAGAGAGTGTAGCTGTGTGAACTCTTATAGGTTACTTCCATGTTGTTTTGATGACCCTGTATGCTAGAAAAGGTTAGATAGTTTCGTTGAATTGAAGGTACTGCACTGTAAATCAGTGAAATATTCTCTTCTCTTCTACAACTAATGGAATAAACAATACAACACAGTGAGACAAGTACGAAACATTGTTCATCGGTTTGTTACCCTAACCTTCTTATGTACAAGCCCACAACTCATTTTTATTTTTTCCCCTAACAATCTTGGTGAGATCCATCGACCTATTTCCTCATTGAGAGCTTACAGCTTGCTTTGCACTCAAGCTTTTAAAGTCGATCTTGCTTATAAAGGGTGCGCCAAAATAACCTGACGGTTTTTAATACTAAATAACTCAAGAACAAACTACAATTTCATGTATTAAATAACGTTATATTGTACACACTACTATGCCATTTTCATTAATGAAAAATGATATCACTCAGTTTATATCGCCTTCTCCTAAACACAGGCTTCCCATTTTTTTTTTTTTTTTTTTTTTTTGCATATTTGCAGTCACCTTTGCCTGATGAATAGAAGCAATCTCTTCCCTGATACACTGCTTGAGTTCAGGGATGGTTTGAAATTTCGAAACAAACATTTTGCTTTTTAAGTATCCCCACAGCCAACAGTCACACAAAATTAAGTCTGGGAATCGAGCTGACCACAGCACATCACCAAACCAAGAGATCACTTTACCGGCAAAGAGTTCACGCAAACCTGACATTGAATAATTGGCTGTATGACAAGTTGCGCCGTCCTGTTGAAACCACGTGTTAGTCATGTCTATCCCTCATAACATCCGCAGTTGTGGAACCAAAAACCCCCTCAGTATTTCCAAATAGCGTTCCGAGTTCACAGTGACAGGGGGGTGTTCCCACTTTCGTCCTCAAAAACATATGGTCCGATGACTCCAAACAGTGCCACACCACACTGCACCACACTATACAGTAACTTTCTTTTGACGACGTGATGTTTTACCAAACATAACCTAAAAATGGCATAACATAAGCAATCGTTCACTACAACAATGAGGTCTCTAGCTAGTCTAACAGCTGACTTATTACAAAACAGGAACCGTCAGGTTTTTTTGGCGCACCCTTTAATACCCAACTATATCCAAATTTAGCTCAAGCTTACATTTCACTCTCAAACATCCTTTATAAGACAATCAATACTGCGATCGTATCTGTTGCAGCCACAAGAAGGTCGTGATCCACGTCCCTTCGTACGAGAAGGTGATCAAACACACGCACACCATCTACAAGATCATCGGTCACAAGAAGGGAGAGAACGACCACAAGCACCACGGAGAAGTGATCCACAAGCACATCCACGGCGGACACGTCGATCACGTTCACAAACACGACGGCCACGGACACCACGAACACAAGCACCACGGACATGCCGAGCATGGACACCAGCACCACGGTCATACTGACCACAAGGTAGGGGATGATATTGCATGGCTGGTGGCTTAGGTAGCATGCTACTTTGCTACTTTGTCACGGGGGCCAGCTGAGTGGTTTGAACACGGGACTTTGGTCCCCAAGGTCCTGGGCTCAAAACCCACCAATATACATCTAAGTGATAAAGCCGCAACATTTTTAAGCCTTATCTGAAGTAAGGAGAATAACAATCTCAGCCTAGAGCTTAGCTAAAAAAGTGGTTAAAAGCATGCCTTCTAGCATGGTAGACCAAAAGCCACCAATAGCTATGGACAATGAGAATCATGTCAAAACCAGGGGCTCGGAGCCCACTTAAGTTGCATATTCACCTATTGAGTAGAACAGCTAGTTATTTTAATCTTTGAATATCTCTCTGCAACGTATGTCTCCCTTTACAAATTCCACACGTTAGTTTCATTTGGAAAAAATTGCGTGTAATACCCTGATCTCAATTGAGAGCTATTTAAGGCACCCAACATCATTGAGGAAATGCAAACCCTCCGATAGCTACGTCCTAACTGAGAATTTGTGTTAAAAAGGGGGGTTTTCCATTATGACTAGAATGGACAACTGAGGTGCAAAAGAACCTGTTCACTGGACAATCCAAGGACTTGTTAAATCTGTCTGAGTTGTTTCCTATTAGTCACATTGGATGTTTTATACCAAACATGTACTTGGAGCATCTGGTCATAAAAGGTGGACACAGGTGGTAAAGGTGGTAATGCGTAATGTGAATGTGAACACTTCCGATAATATATTTAGTACCTTCAACAAACACTCCATAACTTAAGGCAAGATGCAAAACTTATTTAAAACTCTTAAAAGTTCTCATCACGTATTGCATTGCATAATACTGTACTCACTATTTCTTGTTCCAGCACGCCCACGCTCTCCACGGCGTCCACGAGCACAAGCATGACGGGCACGCGGAGCACGGGCATAAACACGTCGCCCATGCAGACCACGGGCACAAACACGTAGGCAGTCTCCAGGGCTCACACAAGCACACGGGCCACGCCGAGCATGGCCACAAGCATCTGGGCCACGTGGGCCACGAGCATGGCCACTACGTGCATGGAGGCCACACGGGCAGCAACGACTACCATTCCCGCGCATGGTCGCCGGCCATGGCCATGCAAGCTTACGAGACGTACGAATATGTGGACGATCTGCCTCCCAGGGCATACCAGGCCTTCTACAACACATACAACGGCTATCAGAGATTAGGTAGGGCCTACTGAACACTGTGGAAGTGAAGATGGACATTTGAATCTCCTTACCGAAATTCAGGGGTTTAGAAATGTTAGAGATTGAATATAAGCTGGAAACATATGTTGGTACAGTAGTTATGAATTTAGTCTACTGTATGTACTTTTGTGTCTATCAACGAATATTGTGGCATTTTTACGTTATGTAAGGTAAATGTACCACTGTTACTACAAACAATAGCCTCCTCTAATACGGATAGCTTAGTGTTGGTGTGTGGCAACGTCGCACCGGACGGCATTTAAACATGAAGATTTCACAGATAGTCCAGTCAAGGAATGAGGTGTAGAGTGCGTGAGCAGGTAACTAAGCGATTCCTTCAGAAACTTGTTCAGGGGGCTTAGGGTGTTAACATACCAAAAGTCCTGACTCCTAGGTGGTGAGCCAGGGGTGGAGAGGGGAAAAAGGGGGGGGGAGAAAGGTATGCATTTTGGGTTTTTTGATTATATCTTGAAAACTATCAACTTTTTGTATACTATAGTAAATTATAAAATTGAAGAAGATTAAATTTTCTACAAGAAAAGTATATAATGTGTTTATTTTGGTTCAACAGATTACGAGTTATAACTTATTTAATTGATATCTTATTAAAATCTTCTTCCATAAGAAATACATGTAAATTAGTATGCGAAATGGGGCGAATCCTATCCGCCTAAAGGAAATATAAATGATATTCTGGAAATCTTGACAAAATTTCCAGTAATTTGACACTTTAATCATTAAAATTGATCCAAAATTAAGGCGAGGGCGAGGTAACAAAATTTCGAGTTTTGGTGTTTTTTTATTGGAAATATAAAAAAAAACCTTAAATCATCCCATTTTTAAACGCTCACCCTCGCTTTAATTTTTGACAAAATTTCATGATTAAAGTGTCAAATTACTGGAAATTTTGTTAATATTTCCAGAATATCAGTTATATTTCCTTTGGGCGGATAGGATTCGCCCCATTTCGCATACTAATTTACATGTATTTCTTATGGAAGGAGTATTTTAATAAGATATCAATTAAATAAGTTATAACTCGTAATCTGTTGAACCAAAATAAACACATTATATACTTTTCTTGTAGAAAATTTAATCTTCTTCAATTTTATAATTTACTATAGTATACAAAAAGTTGATAGTTTTCGAGATATAATCAAAAAACCCAAAATGCGTACCTTTTTCCCCCCTCCACCCGCTGGCTCACCACCTAGGAGTCAGGACTTTTGGTATGTTAACACCCTAAGCCCCCTGAACAAGTTTCTGAAGGAATCGCTTAGTTACCTGCTCACGCACTCTACACCTACTTTTGGATCATTCATTGACTGGACTAAGAAGCTACATTATAAATTATTGCAACAGGTGTTGCGGTAGGCCGGGGCTGCGACGTTGCTACTTTTGTCTCGCCACGTCCATGTATTAGTGGAGGCTATATTAGGCTTATGTGTTGTACTACCCGCAGTTATTTAGTAAAATAATATTCTATCTCACTCTGTTGTGTTGGTTTCAATATCAATCTCAGAGAACTTATTTATCGTCATATAAAGAATATTTTTTTTTTATTGCACGGATATGAAACTTAAGTTCAAATGAATCGTTATATGCTCTCTAGAATGCTAAAACAAGTTTGTTCTAAGAATTTGAAAAGGTTTGCCCACTTCTTCAAGTTTAAGTTTAAACCTGATATCGTTACTGGACGTATAGATACATGATTCTAAATCACAAAGAGCCTATTAGAACCTAGGCTAGGCCTATTAGCCACGAAAATAGTATTTTCTTAATCTTAACACAATACAGACGTTACAAAACTCATAACTGTAACTCCCATAAAGACTTACATGTCCATGAGCACAACAAATGTATTTACTTCGATGGTTAACGAATAAAAGCCATCATAATGTTATTTTAGTGAGCAATGTACTGTATATTATATTGGTACCTCTTGTATTCCTGATAGACTAGTATAACACATTATGTTTGTAATTGTACCCCATAAGTCATTTACCATATTTTATACATTCAATTTGATGTTAGCATAAGTTTAGGGAATAACATTTGACAACGAAAAACGTTTTTCTTCATAGTCGGTCTAGAAGCAACTATGTACATATTTTAGCACTACTAATGTTATAGAGCTCAATAGTCAGATAATGTTGTTATTTTTATTTTGTTGTAAATATTGCTTGTTGTTTGTTACGTTTTTAATAAATCGTTATGAGAGATATTTTATGTTTCCTTACTGGACTTTACCTTTCATTTACAGCTGCCTGCCTGCCCTGGTTCAAAAATATTTACGTAATAAGTAAGTTTTAGAGTAAACTACTTAAAAGTGCGTGTGTTAACTACAGAGTAATGGTCATCACCGGCCACAATAAGTAAGTAAAGTACATCGAACACTCAATACCATAGGTTTGGGCACGAATAAATAGTTATTTTTGCAACTAGTGAGCAAAGTGAGCAATTGCCTCACTCGAGAGAAATCCTTACTCATGAGCCGTAGGCGAGTGAGGAATGGTTTCTCGAGTGAGGCAATTGCACTTTGCACTCGAGTTGCACATTATATTTTTCCAGCTACCATAAAACAAATAAATTGGTAAAGAAACGTAACATATTTTTACACAGAAGTGAACTTTTAATATGACATTTAATGAGAAGTGACAAATACAACTGTACAACAGCTGACCAGCTGATTTACAGCCAGTGCTGCCAACGTATTTCGCGCGTATACGACCTTGTTTGCATGTTTCGCGCTCACTATTTCGTGCCTTCACGTTGCAAATCTGGGGTGAGACAAAGTAATTAGAGTGAGACAATGGTTACATTGTCTCAATGATGAGTGAATTGGCCACTTTGCTTTCTCAAATCAGTGAGAGAACATGTACATTGTTAGGTAACTGTAGGAAATAGTTATTTGTGCAACTAGTGAGAAAAGTGAGCAATTGACTCACTCGAGAGAAATCCTTACTCACGAGCCGTAGGCGAGTGAGGAATCGTTTCTCGAGTGAGGCAATTGTACTTTGAACTCGAGTTGCACATTATACTTTTCCTACAGTTACCATAAAACAAATAAATTGGTGAATAAGCATAACCTATTTTTACACAGAAGTGAACTTTTAAAATAAAATTTAACGTGAAATGACAAATACAACAGTACAACAGCTGACCAGCTGATTTACAGCCAGTGCTGCCAACGTATTTCGCGCGCATACGACGTTGCCTGCATGATACGCGCTCACTATTTCGTGCCTTCACGTTGCAAATCTGGAGTGAGACAAAGTAATTAGAGTGAGACAATGTTAACATTGTCTCACTGATGAGCGAATTGGCCACTTTGCTTTCTCAAATCAGTGAGAGAACATGTACATTGTTAGGTAACTGTAGGAAAACGTTCTTTTCATCATTCTGTAATACCGGATCAGCTGAAGATTATCTTAAGGGATGTTTGCCCAACATTATAACAGTTCACTTAAACGTAACGAGGATGAAACGCATTATGAAACTGGCTTCAGAATCAACAATAAGTTGAAAATTCTATTAAAAGTATTTTTAGTCAATGGTTAGGGCTACGACTGTGAACGAGGCGCTGACATCGAAGTATATATCCACAGTGGCTGTGATATAACCACATAACACAACATCAACATGTTGTGTTATAGACTTCGATGGGCGGTGATAGTACACCGTTTCCCAAAAAGAATGGATCAAACCTACAGCCTAATACACATGCTATCAAGGGTCGTAGAAAAGGTAACTATGGCTAATTTTAAAGGTAGCATCTTTAAGTTTTTTAAGTACCCTTTTTATAATAATCAGCTGTTCCATTGTTGTTAAAACGTTTGAATTTTCAAAACGTTAAGTTACAATATGGAGCTGCAGTTGAAAGCACAGTGTATTTGAATGGTTTATAGAGACAAAATCTGTGGTTTGATTTTTGGGGGGTTTGTGAAAGATCAATTGACGCCCGTATCACTCGCCTATATCAAACAAAGATGAACTTAAAGATTTATCTTGATTATACGATTTAACTATTAATGAACAGATTTATGCTTTTTAAATTGATATGAGCTTGATTTTTTTTTGTCATAGGACGATAGGCACGTGCCTGGGATTGTTTTTCTAATTACTTCAGGTTAGACCTAGGGGTTGCGGCATTATCACTTACAGTAGATAAAATCCATTGGTGACTTGGCGGGGATCGAACCCGGGACCTCACGGACTGAAGTCCCGCGCTCTAACCACTACGCCAGCTCGCTCCCCTATGTGCTTGATTAAGCAAAATGATCATTATTTTTCAAAAATAATTTGGTTTATGTTAATTAATACTAATTAACTATCAATACAGTAATAATATATTAACAAATTTTCTTTTTTTTATTGCCTATAGTATTTCTTAAAACTAATCAAGCTTAAAATTCACATCCATCCATAAAAGTACAACCAGTTAGACTATGTTTGCGATTATTATAGTAGTTTTATACTTTACTAGTGTATCTGTTGCTCGAATTCGAGCAATTTCGAAGTATTACATGCGTTATTTTATAACGAATAACAGTCATAATTTCTGATGACTTTAAAATATTTGACTCAGATTATGGAAATACTCAAGATGTACATAACAGATCGATATAATCAACATTTCTTGTAAAATATTTAATTTTTTTAAGCTGATCTTGTTTTTTAGTGTTTTCTACAAATAGCCTTACTCATAGCCACATAGGTTGTCCATAATAACGATTATAAATAAAAAAAAACATTTCTATTTATTCTCCTTGGTGTTGTTATATGACTTTCCTATGTTTCTATAGTTTACAAATCGGCTCTTTCAATGATCACTAAGAAATGCAGCACAGTGTTAATTCAGTTTTATTTTTAGTACAGTATATCAAATTGTCCAGGCTTTCTCGCTTTTTTTCGTTGTAAAATTTACGCCAACACAAATTCAAATAGTAAATATTTCATTTCAACAAAGCCAGTAAAAGTTTGAAGCAAACTGTTAAATTAGCAAACTTATTGACTGTTTACAATTAACATTATGCTCTTCTCACTTTTAATTTCTGACAACAGCTG